AAACTGCAATAAAACTGCACGGGCCTTGATTGTGGTCTATGGAGAGACATGGAGGGACTCCAGCACAGCTAACTTTATTACTTCATCTAAGAGAGAGCAAGAGAAAAGGAGGCACACATCAACAGATTCAGACACTATTACAGTCAAATCCTTTACCCAAAGTGGCCACAGTCTCCATCCAAGGACCCCAGCCCCTTTTTCACCCAGCAAAAAGGGGCACAGTAGAGGACAAAACCTTCCCAATTGAGTTTACCCAGCTCTGTATTTACATAAACCTTTTACAACTTAACTTCATGGCAGGCATCATCAAGTCTTAAACTGATGGTAGTTGTATAAACATTGTGGGGAAAGAAGAATTAATGTTTTAAATAGTAAAACGGACTGCTGTTTATGTAAGTGGTTGGTAACCTTATGGTGATTGCCAACTTAACAAATAATTTACCACCATTTTCATTTCCCACAACATCACAGCACCCAACTCTGCTGCTCTAAGCATTTAAATTCACTTTGAGGGAGCCATCTTTCTCATCTGGGAGGCGGAGAGGTGAAAGGGAGACGGGAAAGCGTGCATTTTTTAGGCGATTAGAGCAACAGATAACTGGGCGCTAGGCGAAAACAGCCTGATAGTCTGCAGGCCACTGAAAGAAAATGCTCCAGACTTCCATGGAGATTTAGCAGTAAGAATCTTCTCCTTTTCCCTCTTCTCTGAAAATAGGCTATTATATGGTGTTGCATCTTTCTTGGCTGGAGCTTCGCAAAAGATGTAGGGTTTCAGAGAGCATACCGGGGGACCGGTGAAACTGGAGACAATATCAACAAATACGGCCTTGTATTTTTAGGTTGTGATTATAAAGCTCATTTCACAGTTTAATACTCCCGGGAAGCCAAACAAACATGGTTGTATAAAGAAACCAGCATCCAGTATTGGATCAAATCTCTACTGCTCCCAAATGTCCTGGACATACAAAAAGATATGCACATGCAGTATATATACTTAGCACCGGGCCTATGAAGTTCAGTGACAGATTTCAATACCACACACTGACGTACAGCAGGTTCTCTTTTAGCAGAGGAGTGATTCCTGTTATTTACCTAATGCATGCTATTCTGAGGAAAACGAAGACACATAATTAATTACAGATAAACTAGATCAACACTGAATTTTTTAATGGATAATTTCCTTTTCATATTTAGACTTTTATTTGGTTTATTAAAAAGTCCGTTCAAATATCATGAAATACTCCTTTGAAAAAATATAAATAAATACGAGAAAAATAAGTGTTGCACATATCCAGTTCCTTATTTAATACTGCCAGAAAACAATTATTAATACTTTTTTTGCTCTTTTTATTGGCCTCTTCATTCATCTAATAGAAGCAATTCAGTTTGAAATGATAGTTTTACATCAGCAAAAAAAACCAAAAAACTAGAATGCTATTTCTTTAAAACAAAAATGATTTTTTTTTAGATCGGAAACCGTGTATAGTGCGTTAAAAAGGCATGACCATTTGATGCATTTTTTTCTGTCTGATTATCGGTACTCTGCTGGCCCCTGCTGACCAAACAGAACAGAACATTTCCATTACTGATACCTTCAGTTAAAAAAACAAAAATGTGGAAGCGGCATAGCAGATATCATGTAAAATAGGCTGTCTAGTAATAAACTGTACTTTATTAGGCTATGATACACCTAAAGGAAAACTTCGCATGCCCTCTAATTTGTTTAAATTCATCTTGTTGTATATACTCCTCTTGTCTGGCACATCTGGTGTGGAGCATGCAGTTTTGTTATATATGTACAAGATCAATAAAAGGCTATTTTATTTTATCCCAATCTATTTAACATTTGCACATTTACCTTAGCTGGTTAATATTTTATTGACTAATTATTTAATTTTGCTTTTCAAAACTGTTACAAATAGCTAAAACACACATAAGAACATGAATTTTGTGAGGAAAATAACTGTCAGCCTACCCGCTGCAGTTTTTGTAAAGTTTTTTTGTGCTTTGACCAACGGCAGCTAGTAGCTTAGAATTAAAGTAAAAAAAAATTAAGTATTAAGACATTGAAATTGATTAAATTAATATTTTTTAAAAAGCCTTAAATTACTTAAGATGTTGTATCCAGAATTGGGGAGCATTTGTTTCACTAATAGCAGTGCTCTTTTCAAACAAGCTAATTGGCTAACTTTTTGTCTTATCAGCTAGCAGTGCTAAACCAAGGTGTAAACACAATAATATTAGAGCAGTGCAATTCAAATGTTTTTATTTAAAAATAAAAATAAGACTGTGCCACAAAGCAAAACTGAGCTATTTATGCTTTGCAGTTTTTTTTTTCTGCAGATATATCAAGAAGCCTGATTTATCCGCTAGCTTAATTAGAAGAACAAACAAAAGTGTGTTAACAAGAACTGAAAGCATATCATTGCAGGTTTAAATAAATTAGCACTTTATTGTTATTAAAGGAGATAGTGTTTCTTACCATGGCCTGGCCATCTACATATGGAGTGTAAATGTAGGTGTAATTGTAGTGTTGAGTTTGGCCAAAAGTTTCCGTTACCACTGTAAATTACTGCTGCCTTATACATACGGAGCTTGATTGTTGATTTTTATCCATTGTCGACATCAATGCATTCTCAAGCCTTTTATTTATAGGTTTAACAATCCCACCTAGATGCCAAACACCTGAAGCTAATACTAAGTTTAAAACAAAATCCAACTCTTCAGCCTCAAACAGCTCTTTGAAGGGCTAACAACAACAACAACAATAATAATAATTTATTATTATTATTATTATTATTATTATTATTATTATTATTATTATTATTATTATTATAAAAGTGCAAATGATCGAATGCAATGCAGGTAACTATACTTACCTTTAACCTGTGTAGTTTAAGCCACCTAACAACTAAATTAGGTGGCTTAATAACTACATCTGCCCCTGGTAGGAAGCCTTTTATTTCCCTGACATGTGCATTTCACATCATTTTACATTCTTTTTAATCCGTTGACAACTACCTTCTCTCCATGTACAAAGGGGCTGGATTAAGCTCTCGCCGCACTAGAACAGGTAGCCTACAAATCCCAAAGACCATTGCGGCTATTGCGGGAAGCGCAACGGCTGTCGTTTGTGCTTAACCCTCCATCATGGAAAGTCAGAGTCGCGTCTTCGCGGCGATAGTACCGGCCGGGCGGGAGCTCTCCGGTAACGAAAAAGAGCAGGGGCTGGAAGTAAGAGCGGTTAGTCGGCAGAGTCCCGGTAAGTGTCTACGGGAGGTCCAGGTGACAGGGACAGCGGAGGTTCGCTGCCAGGCGGACCGAGCATCGGTGCGGGTCAGCGTGGGCAACAGCAAGGAGTCCGTCAGCGAAGCAACCCACAGCGTTTCACGGCGACTTGGATACATTTTACAGGCTCTCAGGTGAGAAAAGAAGTTGGAGCGAAGCAGGAGCAAACTGTAAAGTTAGCTAGCTACTGTTAGCATTATGCTATTACCGGTTAAAGAGGCAGCAGCGAGAGAAGTGCGTCCGCAGATACAGCCAACTCGTTTAGGATTACCAGCAATGGAAGAAGCGATGAAAAGTTTATTAATGGTATATTTAAAAACGAGAATACAACTAGAAGAGTTTCATTTCGAATTTTAAAATAACCCCTTAAGAGGATGAGAAATAACCGTACTTATTTGTGTATTTATTGGTCCTACTGCTGTTACAGCTGCATGCAGGGGCGGAACCTGAGGGTGGCCATCACAGACTAAACCCCTGCTACCCTCCATCCTTGTATATTTGAAGTCAGTGATTTTGGCAAACTAACTAACTTGGATTTCAGTGCTTGTAAAAACGTAAACTGCACAATTACTTCAAAATTTGCAGAAGTAGCACATTAAATATGCTTGCAAAGCAATTGGTGTCCAGTAAAGCAGTGTTTTAAGTTGATACAGTTTTGTTTTGTTTATATTTCTTTTAAGGGACAGTAGCTAATTTTTCAAAGTACACAGTAATTTTTGTGACCATGTCTTTATTTTTAATCCATTCTGCTTAGACAACATGACATCAGAGAAGAAGACACTTCAGTAAGGAGGTTTCTCCACCGAGACGCAGACATGTATCGGATGGATGCAGAGGTCGAGTATTTGGACAAACACCGATGAACGTGCAGCACAGACGTGTTGAGCAGCATGTGACCTTGCTGTAATATATCTTATAGGTCATAGTGACTTTCTCAGACTTTGAGAAGATGGAGCGAATATGTAGCATCCTGCTGGAAAAGCTAGACAAGAGCGTTTTTGTGGGGACACCAGAGTTCTACCACAGTGCTGAATGCCTGAGTCAAATGAGGTATGAAAAAAAACCCAACACAATCGTACCTCTTTTATTATTTTCATTAAATGGTGTGACCGTAACTAGCCTGTGTGTGCTGCAGGCTGCGTGCGTGTGTGTCTGCAGTCGAGAATGCTCAGCTGAAGGCCAGCAAAGTCAGTCAGCTCCTGGGACAAAGTCTGGGACCCCCTCTGCTGGTTAGAGAGGATGAAACCAAAGAGTGGAGGAACAACGAGGACAACGGTGGTGGGGGGCAGGGGTCTGCAGCCCCTTCTCACTTTCCCAGCTTACCTGCAGTCACTGCTTCCTCGCAGGTGTCCGTCTCCTTCAGCCTCAGAGACACGAGCAGGAAAATGAGACGAGAGATATAATGCTTTAAAAAAAAAAAGTAGTTTTAATTCAGCCAACACTTTCTTGAAATAAAAAAATAATTTTATTTTGACTTTAAAAGCAATTTAAAGAATCTCAGTCTGTCAACGTTGTTTTTTTACATATTTGGTAGACACTTTAAATTATTTTGTATTTGTAAACTTCAGAGAAATAAATGTAGTAATTCAGAAGCGTAATTACATTTCTTCATCTTTGATCATTTATCTTCAGCTCCGTTAAAGGCAGGGTTCGATGGTCACTCTTAACTCCTATTTTTACTTGAGCGGGTCGATGACTCTTAAAGACGGCATTTTGTGTCCACTCGTTGGACTCCAGTAGACAAATAAAAAGAAGAACCAGGCTGAAGAAAACCACAGAAGCCAAAGGATGAAACTGTCTGTTGGCTAAGGCTTTCATACTCCAGAGTCAAAAGTCCTCGCCCTCATCATCCTCCTCGTCTTCGGGGAAGAGCTCTCTGAGCCAGGGCTGCATAACAAAGCGTTTCCCATTAAAGTGCGTGAAGTAGTTCTCCAGGGTGGGAATGTCCGGCTGGAAACATCCAACAGTAAGCCCAAGACCTATTTTAATATATATGATTGTATGCGCTGTGATTTTCAGGACTTACCCTCATCCCTGTGATGCGCTCCAGCTGTGTCTGGGGCAAGTATGCAACTATGACAGAGGAGGGTCCAGGTCCTCCAAAGATCACCTTGTAATGAGGTGTCTTTTCTGCTCTTGTGTCCTATATGAACACACGCTTCCGTTACTAACACTTAAATGATATATTACCAATAAATGATCAGAGGAAGTGAAGGAGGCTACTGACATCAGAGCCGGAGTACATTCTGTCAACCCATTCTGGAGGAGCTCGCAGTTCAGGGTCCCAGCTCACCACTACTCCAACCATGTGGCCTTTTGTCTCCAACACCACCTCTCCGACCCGCAGAAACACATACGGGGGACGAGGGCTGCGCGCCGTCTTGGATGCTGATGTGACAAAGACAGAAGAGATTACTACAGAACTGACATGAAATGCATGAATAAGATCTGTTTTTAATGAAAAACCATGATCAGATTTCCTGCTGTGTCTTTCGAGAAAGCTCTGCTGTTGCCAGGCAATAAAACTAAAATCCCATGATAATTTCTAATATGACCTCGGTAGGTTTTCTGAGTGCACAGGCTGTGATCAGCTAAACTGCTGCTCTTTGTGGATTTACACAACTGAATTCACCAAGACGTCAGCAGATGTTTCACAGCTATCCTGGCCGATATACATTCCCTACACTGTTTATAGTATCTTTGCATTAGACAGTTGGTATAAAGTTGGAATTCAGTGAATGAATCTAAGCATCATAGTCTTAAATGCAAATTCTCTGCTACACTTCATTCTTTTTTTTCTCCTTGCAAATACAGAAGCTGGACCCATAGATAGCAACACATCGTGAGACAAACTGCACACAAACAGTTTGTGTGTTTGCTGATGTTTGTCGAGCTGATAGAAACATTGAATTTGAAATTGCCTGCCACTAAAAAAAAACATCACTCCCATTCATGCTTTCTAGCTGTCTAGATGCTGAAGTACTGCAAACACAACATACGGATACGAGCACTCCTTCCGGCCGACTTTAAATCCTGAGCGTAAATGCTATAAACGATACTGTTGAACCAAATGTAAGGAATAAAAAGTACAGATTTTTGGAAGTAAAAGTTGTCAGAAAAACAAATACTAATAAGGTGATTGCCAAGGTGCTTAGCTAAAAACCTGTTATATCCCAACATGGTGTGGAGTGATTCTTAGGGCAGAAGAAACAACAGGCCTTTAAAAAAAATACCTACAGCAATCCAAAGTCAAGAAACGGAGGAAAATGCTGCAAAAACCTGACACTGGGCCTGAGAGCTGCATCTTCAGCTGATCCATCGAATGCCATGGTTTGGGGCTGCATTTCATACAGTGATGTTGGGGATCTTGTCTTACTAATGGACTTACAAACAGAGCAATGTACCATCATCATCATCATTATATTTTGATCCACCATAGAGTAGCATCTGGAAAATGTGTGACTGGCAACAGCTTTAATTCATCAGAATGACCCCAAACACACAGCCAATGCAGTAAAAGCACACCGGGATAGAAAAACCGTGGAACACCATCAGTCATGGATCGGCCTCCCCAGAGCCTGAACCTCAACATTACTGTGGGATCATCTTGACAGAGAATAGAACAAAAGGGCAGCCAACATCCAAAGAAGAGCTTTGAATGTCCTTCAAGAAGCCTGGAGAACTATTCCTGAAGACTACTTAACGAAATAACAAGAAAGCTTGGCTAAAAGAGTTCAGGCTGTGTGTTGAAGAATAAAAGTATGCACACCAAATATTGATTTTCAAGCTTTTTAGGATCATACAAACTCTTGTCCTCATATACTGTATTTCCATGTGTGTTTCACTGCATCTATTTCCTATTTTCCTTGCAAAATATAAAGATATCAGGGATGGTTCAAGACTTTTGCACATTACTATAAATGTAGTGCTTTTCAAAGTGCAATAGTTCAGGAGGACATGTAAAATTAGAATTAAACATCCATTAGTTTTTGGTAATTAATTGCACTCGATGGGGAAGGTGAAATTTCACATTAACCTATGAGAATGAGGATATGGACAGACTGTATCACATGTGGCTGGTTAAAAATGCTTCAGTATAGCAGAGCTATAGACACAAACCTCCAAAGAATCCCAGGTCATTGTCAAAAAGCATGGTCTCCACGGGAGGTGGCCCTTGTCCCGCTTGATCTTCCTGTCCCAATCCAACCAGAGACCTTCAGGAAACAAACACATCACCAGTCTCTAAATACAACTCATGTGTTTCCATAAAAACACCAGAAATCACTTTTTAGGTGTGTGGGATTTGAATATGAAACAAGATTATGCAAATAACTGTAGCCTCAGATCCCGAGTGAGCGAGCGATGATTCAGGTTAAATTCAGTCCTCATTTAATGCCATTCATCTCAAACACTCACATGGCTTTGGACATCTGCTGGCTTGTCCAGTCTGACCATGCAGTGACATTCATGTATGATTTTCTCCATTCTCTCCATATTCGAAGCAATCTGAAACCAAAAGTGTTCTTTTTATTAGTAAAGCAGAAAGAAAACGGCCACAACAGTCCTTAGTCTGGTAAGGCCCACTTTATCTAATAGTTCACATAAAAGGTTATCCTGGGTCATTCACATCCAGCCAACTAAAGGCGTTTTTCCCCTTTTTGCAAACTTCGATGCGGTAAATAAAAGCTGGTTTTTGGCGCACTGATCTCACCGCGTGGTCGCATGGTAGCGCTGCGCCGCCGAGGAGCCGCTCCACCGGGAGATGAAGTACTGCGCGGGCACGGCGGAGAGCAGCAGCGCGATCTGCAGCACCGCAGAGGCCCTGAGCACAGGCATGACCGCACAGCTGGCACCTGCCCGGAAACCAAAAGTACATGCACGAAAGTGAGCGCCAAAATTAACCTAGGCGATAGCTAGCTATATATCAAATAAAATAAATATAGGAGGTTTAAGTTTGTTGAGCGTAGGACACGTGACCCCGCAGGTAGGTCAAACCAGGTAACCGCGAAAGCTCTTTACTAATTCTAATTGTGACACTTACCTCTTGTTAAGCTCTAAAGTCTTCCCTCCGATTGCGTGTCGAACATTGCGTTTGAGTGAGTCTGCTGCGCGTGGAAACCAGAACACAGCGGCGCGGTTTCACTTCTGTTTTATTTACATAAACCACACTCCGGCCCATGTCGCCTCCAGCCACCTGTGTATTTACATTTTTGGAAAAATTGCCAAACAGGTATTCTAACCAATAGCCGCAGCCCACGGAGTACCCAAGGACCTTTAGCGGCTCGCCACGTCAGGAAGAGCCGGAGGTGTGGGAAGTGATTTTTGTGCACTTACCGTTTCCAACGCTAGGTGGGAGTGTTGTTCATTCTTCTGCACCTCATTTCCCACCTGCAGCTCGAGCGTCAATGGAATAGTGTTTTTTCATTATCATTATTATTATTTTATCTTTATACAACAAAGAAGCAACAAGCATTAAAAGTGAATATGGAAACACAACTTTTTATTCACTTAAAATATTGGTATGAACTAACAGGACAGCAGTACTCCCCTACACATACATTCTAGCCTTATGCTTATTTTTTTTGCATTAATTCCTTTATATATATATTTATATTAAAAAAAAAAAAAGTATCCAAACTAACAAAGACGACCTCATCAATTCACATGAAAAAGACCCCTTCCCCTCCTCTTCTGAAAACATACCCAAAATTCTTCCTGGTGGCTAACATGAAGCCCCTTCTCTCTCTCTCTCTCTCTCACACACACACACACACACACACACACACACACACACACACACACACACACACACACACACACACACACAGTGACCATTAACCAAAGACTGTGATGCCAAAACAGCACAGCTCTGCCACACATTAGCACAGGCCAGTGTGAATGTTTACATGAGCTCTGAAATGTAGCGTCAAGGCAGAGGTGCTGCTCTGAACCAGTAACACCACCACCTTACATTAGAATCTGAAAACCTAACAGCATATATACCTCCACCGTATAAAGAGCTGGATACAGATGTGTGTGATGTCTGTTTGAATGGCTTAACACCCAAAGTCTTGCTTATACACCAGTGAGTTCTTTTTAAGGCCCCTTTAAAATGATTAGGTTGCACACATTGATCTGCCACGGTTAAGGTAATATGACCAGCTACGCTATATCAGCGCATCTACTTTGACCCGTGATGAGCACAGGTAGTGTGATGATCTGATGAACAGGGTGTCACAGCAGAAATAACCACATCTGATACCCACTGCATTCCCACTTTGAGTGTATTTCAGTGAAGAAGAAAACAATAGATGGAAAAAATATACAGTATCCTTACCCATCACCTTATTGCATGGGGATTACATGGCTATGTAGCACACCAGTAGTTCCTAATTTAATATGGCCGTGTGACCGATATCTCACAGTCCCATGTAGTTCTGGAGGACTGTTTATTTTTCAGCTGGCTCATGTAAACACATTAATGGGGATCTATTAAACTTCTTATTTTCTGATATATTTATATATTGTTATAATGGTGCCGATTCAATTAATGACATCAGGATATGTTATGGTGGCCCATCTGAGCCAGAAGCTCAGGGTTCGTCTAAACACTTTGTTTCCAAACGTTTTTTTCATTTCTTGGCTCTGTATGATGTCAGCGAAAGCCGACGCCTTCTTATATGGTCATTTGAGCACAGAAGCTCCGCCCACAGATTGTTTGTTTGCGGGAGCCACACAATAAAAGGAAAGCTGGCATAACAGCAGAGGGAGAGCTTGTTTAAGACACTGGATCAACTAGAACTACACCAAGGTCCAGTAGAAGGTAAAAAGGATAATTCTGAACTGTGAATTAGGCAGAACTATTGTAATGGAGTCCATTACAACAGAATACATGGACATGGACGTCGGAGTAAAAGGTCCCCTTTAAAAATAAAGTCATACCTCAAATTTGAGAATCCTGGGTCAAAGCAAGCCCATCTCTGCTTTCATCACATGATAAAAATCTTTAAATCTTTGTGTTTCTGAAGAGTTTTTAGAGTGTTTTTTTTTTATTAAAGCCATGAATTATTACAATAAAGTTTCTCCACAACATAAATATTATCATAGGCAAATATAACCTTGAAACCTCAAGAATAAAATTCATTTTCATGTCATTTGTGGAGGATAGTGTCAGTGTTTTTAGGCAATTTTTGAATGAAACTCTTCACAAACACAGCATAAACAAAGCAATTATGAACCACCAGAACATCTGAAATAGGTGTGGCAGAGGATAAAAAACCCATCTTCACATATGCGGCCACTGGTATATCGTCCTTTATGGCAGGGACACAAACAGAAAACAGCTCAACACACTCACCATGGAGACAATAAAATCTCTTTAGAAAATAAAACACATTCAAAAGCCATGTTCTACAACTTCAGTGCCCAAAGACAGAATTTGGCATTGACAAATCCATAACAACAACAAAAAGACATTGACAATAAAGATGAACAGATGAGATATACGTTTAGTAATATGTGACGAGACCTATGAAAAGAACCAGGTGTATATTGATGCTACCATCCAGTTCCGTCCAGTCAGTCCTGCAACACGAGTGGAAACTCATGGATTCTGGCATTCACTCGCTCCGTGCTGTGGGGAAAAAACCCCAAACAAAACAGAAAAAAACCCACAAAAAAAACAAAACCCATCTTTATAAACTCTCACCTGTGTGTACAAAGAGTGACATAATATGTTTGTCCCCTGTCAAAATGTTAATGTTTCGGTCTTTTCATTATTTTCCTCACGAGCCTGTCAGGTCTAGTCCGCTCCCCGAAGTCCAGTTTCTCTGAACCCGGTGACGAGCGGGACCGGGAGATCCGAAACGATAACAAACACTAAAAAAATAAAGGCCCCAAAGAGGAGAAACCAAGGATTCAATATGCCAGAGTAGCAAAGGCACACAATCAGAAAGATGAAGGTAAGACTTGTCTCTTTCTCCGGTTTGCTTTCAGTTCAAATTCAGTCCGATCCCAGTTTGATCCGTCCCCTTCCTGTTTGCAGCAGGCGTGAGAAAGTGCTAGAACATGCGAGACAGATTTGCGTGTGTCTATGTGTGTGCGTACAAGTTTGGAGTCACCGTGGAAACATATCGACACTTTAAAACTTTATATGTTTAAAGATTTTAAAATACACATGGTTACTCCCTAAGACTGCATTGATAACCGGTCTCTGGTAAGTGCATCTCAAAGCTAGTCACCCGAAGCTCCACCCCTCTGTACCTTAGGTATAAACTGACAATAGGTTGGTTATAGGATAATATATCGACATGAGTAATGGTATGCTTACAACAACAGTAAATTTCTTTTCAGCTGCTATAAATACATTTCTTTGAGAGGTTTTCACAACGATCAAACTGTATGCCACTGTTTGCACGCTGAAATGACACGCTCAGTTGTGTTATTAAAAAAACAAACAAACGAAAAAACATACACACATTCCTTCAATTACCCGCATAGTCACAACTAAGTTCGTACACAAACAGGCACATGTACTTTGCAGGGCAGAAGCCAAGCACGCATACACCTACATGCACGCACGCACCCATACAAAAGACATAAAGGCACAAGGTATTGCTAATGTTGAGGACGCTTTGAAACATGAACTAGAGAGACATAAATGACCCTTTTCACCCATGCATCCTTTTTCTCCTCCTCGCCACAGTAAAAACAGCATCAGGAAAAGGAAAAAAAAGTTGCTTCCTCTTTCTAATAACATGCAAAGAGAAAAGAAAGGAAAAGAAAAAACACCCACACACATCAATAGTAAACAAAACCTACAGATCTACAGTACCTCCGAAAAGGTACACCATTTGGTATTTTAGCGCAGACAGATAGGTCAGCCAACGTGTAAGACTTCCAAAACAGAGAGCAGTGATCACGTACAAATCTTAGAAAAAGCAGAGAGCAGGTTGTATAAAAAAAGACTGGGAACAATGAGGAAGGGAGGGAGAGAGGGGGAAGCGGGAAAAGGACGTCGTTAGGCCAGCGGTCCCGTCGTCCATTACCGCGTTCAGCTCCGTGGGCATCTTCCATCTGTCCGGCGGAGACGCTTGAAAAGTCCTCAAAAATAGTAAAAGTTAGATAAGATACATCTGGCCTCCTCGTGATTTTTTTTTCAAGTACTAAAAGTCTCCAACTACCAACAACTTTACCCAATCTGACACCAAACTGTGTACAAGGTCAGAAGGAGACAGAGTGATTCACAAGAGAGGAGTCACAACACCGTCGACATGAGGCTCTGTGATTCGCGCTCCTGCGGGATCCAACATGGATCAATAATGTAGGAGGAGCTGGAACACGCGAACATGCCATCGGATGTGCTTACTGGGCAAGAGAGGAAGGTGGAAGGGGAGGGGCAGCGACAAGGAGTGGGCTGGTAACTCTTTGCTCTCCTCAGCTTCAAATAGCAGCAGCTGAACCAGCGACTCCATGGATGTACGCACACATACGCACACAAATGCATACACCGCTAAGCGTGACTTCCTCCACTCCGCCCTCCCAGTCCTCCAACGCACGAGCGAACATGTCCCAGCCTGCGTGGCTCCTCCGTTACCAGCCAATCAGGTTGGCTTTGGCTTTCTCTGTCAGTTTGCGGACACGCCCTTTTGAGGAGGTGCCAAAGGTTATTGATGAGTCCTCAAACAGCAGCTGCCTTTGCTCCTCCTCGGAGTCCTCCTCCATGTACCAGGCTGACCGTCGACCTTGGTTACGTGTGCGCATGGACCCTCCTGCCTCGTCGCCTGCCTCCTCCTCCTCCTTAGGAGGTTCTTTCCGGCTGGGTCGTTGGGTCTGGAGCGGAGGCGTGCCCTCTTCGTTGGCCCTTCTGCTGCTCCTCCTCAGTGGCGAGGGCTCCGGTGACTCAGGAGGAGGAGCAGGTTCCTCGATTCTCACCACTCGGGGCCGGCCACGCCGTCTCGGCGTCGAGGCCATGCCAGAGTCCGACAACACTTCCTGTGCAGAAGACATGCCGCCTTCGTCGCCTGTAGACGGGTCGACCTCGTCGTCAGGGGTGAAGCTCCTGCGGCTGCCGCTCTGTCTTGTGTCCTCCGCCTCCTGCTTGCTCTTCCTGCCTCTCTTCTTGCCAGGTGGGCGACCTCGCGGTCTTGAAGGGCTGGCCGGGGTTGAGACCTCTGGTGGACTCACTGGCGGCTCTGTTCTCGACTTCCTCCCCCTTCTTCCCACACCTAGGGTCACATGACTACCGTGGCCATTCAGGTGGACTGTGCTATGAGATGAAGTGCTGCCAGGAGAGCCTGAGATGGAAAAGAACAGAAACGTAAATGTTTCCGTCCTGATCGTAAACCTTTGCTTTGCACGGTCACATG